TCATCCAGCTCTACACCTTGTTATCTCAGCAACCAATTGTGTCGAGTCTGGAACTACTGCACTGCTTCAGAGCTTGAACGGACCATGTTATCAATTATCAGTGGTGTCAACAATCAGGCTGAAAGAGAAAGAGGCTTCAGGGCCAATGAGGGACTTTCCAACGTGCAAAGGATAATTGTTTACACGTGCCCATCAAAGCATGTATGGAACAATTATAGATATGATTGAATTGAAAAGGATTTAATTCCCCGACATTGGATTGTTTTGAGCCACTGGCTGTGGATCCTGGGGCGTGGCAGCTTGGGAACAGTGATGATGCTCACAACCTCAGCTACTCCCAACTGCCACACCTCTGTGGAACCTGGTCAACGAAATAGTTGGACGCTTGTACGTAATGCCATCCAGTTAAAAGGTGGCTTATAACAAAACGAACAGAAGTAGGCTGCTCAGCCCATTGAACCTCCCGCACCACTCAATATAATAATAGCTTATTAAACACTTCAATGTCTTTTACTCAACCCATCTCCATAACCCCATGTGTCATTGGTAATCAGAAGTCTCTACCTTAAACATACTCAAAGACTGAGCTTCCAGAGCCCTTTGTAGTAGAGAATTCCAAAGGTTCACAACCCCCTAGTAAATAAATTCTCCTTATTTCAGACCTAAATGACATTCCCTAATTTTAAAATTGTGCCCCTAGTCAGGCATCCCCAAATTGAAGAGGAACCATACAAAGTGAGCTATGCTTCAAACAAAGTGACTATTAAGACGACCACAGGTCTTCAAAAGATGAGATTCCAACACTTGGACCAATCTGCTGGCCTTGTAGAATGTGCTGGCTCAGAACTCCCTGATTGTTTGCTATGCACAACAACATGTGGCTCTGTAAAGGGGAGACGAGGAGAATGAGGAAATCTTTTATCACCAAGGAGGAATTGAACAATAAATTAGCTGAAGAACTTTTGGATGTAGGTTAGGCTGCCATACCACATGAGGGTCAGAGGTTTGTTCTGAGGGAGACACAGGAGCTTCTGATCAAAAAGTGATTCATTGAAACGTCTTGAGCCACACTGCCAAATGTCGCAATGAGGCACCTCGTTTCATTGATCAACCCCAACTGGCAGCTCACACACACCGACCCAAAGGCCCACATCAGCATGTCTCTCTTCATGGGGTCTCAAGGGTCCGCTGGGAAAGGCCATTGGCTTGCCGTGTTTATCACCAGACACAAAAACTCACCTCAATTATGACAACATTCTAAACAGTGATAATAAATGGGACACAACCATATATGAGGGTCTTGTGGTGCAGTAGTAATATGCCTGTCTCTAAATCCCACCTATTCCAGAGGTGCGTGATAGCATACTGAGCAGGTGGATTAAACATGTCCCCAACCTCAAATACAATCCAACCAATGGAGGTTCCACCGCAGAGCACCCCTTTCTTCGCTAACAGGTTGGTTATCTCACTGGCCTGGATAACGTTGATGGCATTTGTTTCAGGCAACTTCTGCTTGTCTAAGCGGTGAGGGCTCTGGCATTTTGAGTGAGTTCTGCCTAGTGGCAGGAGTATCCTCTGTTGTTGCAGCCCTCCCTGCTCACCTGAGGTGGCACAGACCTGGCAGAGACATGAGTCTGATCTCTGTTCAACAATGGCACACATCGATCGAGCCGAGTGTCACGCACCCAGCATGTAAGGAACGTGCTGCCGCTTCTCGTTCCCCGTTTAAGTCTCTGATTTCTCAATGGAAGATGCCAATTGTACATGGCCTGCATAGACTCCTCAAATTTCCTTGCCAGGGTTTGCATTTGCTCTGGAATTTCAAACAGACCGTCATTCATCTCCCATAGGGCATCTAAGATGCTGCCTCACAGACAACCTCAGAGATTCATCATTTGTCTGCGACACAACATGTGCTTGGTATCCCTCACTCCTTCGTGCTAGAGGCCTAGACTGTCATTGCCTCTGACAGCCGATCTGCTGCTCAGAGTGTAGTATTCAAACTGGCTGAGCCCCAGGTTTGGTCAATCACGCAAGAATATGAGATGATAGCAAGTGAGGAGTGTGGATGGGAGTGTGCACTCTCTGAAGTGCCTTCCTGTCCCTCAGAGGTCAAGTCCAGTTCCTTGGGGATGTTGGCTGCAAGGACCAAAAGGTTTTCTCGTCAAGTTAACAAGGGTGATTAACACTTGACAACAAATAATGCAGATACTGCTGTATCTCGTAGAACATAGCTCCAACACTACAGTGGTCACACAGGTGCTCACTTCCAGACATCGCCATACACATTTCTAGCCTATGCAATTCCAGACCAAATGCAATTCCTTTAGATCTTCACCACCTCCAGCACTAATGGTAATGCTCCCCTTCTTGAGCAGACAGCTCCACTAGATCTCCATCTTTGTTAGGATGGCCAGGTTTGGCACTTTATTTACACTGTGGGGCCTCATCTTCTGCACACACATTGAGGCAATGTTGAGTTCTATATGAGAAGGGATCAGTCTCTTAAGTTGAATACAGCAAAGTTTATGGGCCCTGACAACACTTCAGCAACAGGACTGAGGTCTTGTGCTCCACATCTTGCTGTACCCCTGGCCAAGCTGTTCCAGTACAGCACCAACATAGCCACCTTAGAGACAATGTGGAAAATTGCCCAGGTATGTCCTGTACACAAAGGTAGGAACAAATCCAAGCCATCATTCTCTTCTTGATCCTCGGCAAAGTGATGAAAGAAGTCATTGACAGTGCCATCAAGTGGCACTTGCTCCTCAATAATCTGTACACGGATGTTCAATTTGGTTTTTTCTGAGGCCACTCAGCTCCTGAGTTCATTTGCAGCTTTGGTCTAAATATGGACAAAACAGCTTAATTTCAAAGATGAGATAAGAAACATCAAGGTATTATTTCATTAAACATGGTATCAACGACTTCCAGCAAAACTAAAGTCATTGGGAACAGGGCACAAACTTTCTGCTGGTTGAAGTCACATTTCGCACAAAGGATGATTGTCGAAATTTCTTGATTTCAGTTATGTCAGTCCCAGGACATCCCTGCAAGAGTTCCTGAGGGTAGTATCCTAGACCCAGTCATCTTCAGATGCTTTATCAATGACCTTCCCTTCATCATAAGGTCAAATGTGGCGATGTTTGCGGATCACTGAACAATATTCAGCACTATCCATAACCATCCTCAAACACAGAAGCAGTCCATATTCATATGCAAGAAGATGTGGACAACATTCAGACTTAGGTTGATAAGCCACAAGCAACAATCGCATCAGGTAAGCGCCAGGGAATTACCGCTTCTAAGCAATTGAAAGTCTAAATTTATCTTCTCTTAAATGAAACAGTATTAAAATTAGTGAATCCTCCATTTCAACACTCTGGGGACTACCATTAACCCAAAACTGAACTGAACCAGTCACACAAATACTGTAGCTACAAGAGCAGGTCAGAAGCTGTGAATCCTGTAGTGGGTAACTTACCTCCTGTCTCCCAAAGGCCTGCCCACCATCTACAAGGCACAAATCAGAAATGTGAATACTCTTATTCAGGGAATATTACCCCTTGCCTGGATAACTACCTGTCCAACAACATGCAAGCAGCTCAACACCAACCAAGACAAAGCAGTCCCTTTGACCGGCACCACAGCCACCACCTTCAACATTTACATTCTTCATCACTGACAATAATATCTATGGGATGCACTGAAGTAATTCTCACAGTCTCCTTCAAACATGCATCTTCTACTACGTGGAAGAATATGGGCAGCAGATGCATGGGACCACCATTCCCTGCAAATCCAAGCCACACAAAATACCATCTTGATTCAGAACTATATTGCTGTTCCTGCTGCTGCCTCAAAGTCCTGAAACTCTCTTCCAAACAGCACTATGGCTCTATCTATACCACACTGCAGTGGTTCAAGAAGGTAGTTTACCACCAATTTCTCATGCACAATTAGGGACAGGCAACCAATAGTTGGCCTAACCATCAACACGCATATCAAATGATTATTTTAAAATAAAACAAAGTACGCAAATTCCAATTGTGTTCCCAATCTGCTAATGTGTACTGCTGAAGGACAGCCTTGCCGTTGGGTTTCTCTCTAACATACAAGCCAAGCAAGGGTTTGGAGAGTTTGTACTTTTGCAGGTCATGCCACAGTTATTTTTCATAAGGTCTATTTCCTACCTCAATGTTCAGTAGCCACGACTGCAGGTTTGCCACTGCCTCCTCTCCAAGAGCCAGATTCCACACCACCACATAGAGGGCTTTATCAGTGAAGAAGCACTGATTGACTGTTGACATTATGGCAGTACCTCCAACATCCCACACATTAAACACCACTGAATCCACCTGTGAATTAAGGTAAAAACAAACAAAACTACACTTGTAGCATTCTGTAACATAGTTAATTACAGTGACCAGTTTGCCGGAGATTCGCTTTAACAGGCACGATGGACCAAATGGTCTCCTACATACTTCAATGTTTCTATCAAAGTACATTCTTCAAAGGAATGATGTGAGCCTCCCTGTTAGATATGTGGAATTTGGAAATGTACCCTTGCAACGTGCCATTAGGCATGGCTGAGAAAGCAGCAGAATGATGGAAAAGACTTCATACATTGACATTGTTGCAAGGTGAAAGTTATTGCCCTTTCTCTATTTTGGACAAAACGTCACTGCACTGTGGTCAATTTTAATCCTGCTCTAGTGGTGGAAACTGCTTGGTGGACAGGGAGGAGTAGAGTTATAATGAAGACATTATTTTGCATACTGATCCTGTCCATTAATGATGTAAACCTGTAGAGCTCAGCAGGCAAAAGAGAAAGCTCCCTAAAGTAGGCCGAGGTCTCAAAGATTTATGAAAATGTATGTCCCGCGGTGTAAGAAAACCCATTGGAGAGCAGACAGTGAAAAATCTGCGGCTGTCCTACTTGGCAGAAAACTGACCAATAGAGAGAAGAGACTTCACGAAATACCCTGTATATCAACACAGATACAGAAAGCGCTGCCACACATGACTGCATTACTTGATAAATGAGTTAGTGAGAATGAAAAATGCGCCCTTGAAAATTAAAAATTTGGTCTAAAACAATCAAAAAGTTAGCCCCCAGGAAAATCAAAGAGTCTAAAGAAAATTGACCCCTACCATGTTGGTGCTTCCCTCCACACAAAATGGGACCCACAAAAAGAGAGATGGTAATGTAGCAATATTGTCACCAAACAATAGACAGCCAGGCTAATGCTCTGGGCACAACGTATCAAATCCCACCAATTGCAACAGGCAGAATTACAAATTTAACGTCAATTGTGCTTTGTGGACCTCCTGTGCAGAAAACTTTTTCTGAAGAAGGGTCTAGGCCCGAAATGTCAGCCTTCCTGCTCCTCTGATGCTGCTTGGCCTGTTGTGTTCATCCAGCTCTACACCTTGTTATCTATGATCTGTATATCCTTGTTTGCTATGATCTACCTGTGCTGCCCACAAAACAAAACTTTTCACTGTACTTAGGTACATGTGACAACAATAAATCTAATCATTTCAAATGTAATTTCAATTTAGAAATCTTGAAGATAAATCTAGTCTCAAAAATGGTGTTTCAAGACCAATCTTTGATTGTTGTAAAAACCTACCTGGTTCACTAATGTCTTTCAGGGAAGAAAATTTGCCATCCTTATTGTAGTGTGGCCTGCATGTGACTCCAGATCCAAAGCAATGGGATGACTCTTAACTGCTTCTGAAATGGCCCTTGCAAAGAACTCAGTTCAAGGGCAATCAGGGATGGGCAACAAATATCAGCAAAGCCCAACTTCCAGGAAAAACAAAATAAAACAAAATACAAGCAGTTTTCTAATCTCACAAGTCCTGGCTCTATGTTCCTTTACCCCCTTCCCTTCTCTCACTTTTAAATCATGGATCATAGAATCCCTACAGTGTGAAAGCAAGTCATTCAGCCCATTGAGTCCACACTGATCCTCTCACTGAGCTTTTTGAAAATTGAAATGAAAACAAACAAAACTCAGCAGGTCTGGCAATCTATGGAGCAACAAATAGAGTGAACATTTCAGGTCTGTGACCTATCTGTTTCCCTCTACACAGATATTCCAGACCAGGCAACCATTTCCAGCGTTTTCCATTTTATTTCAGATTTTCATAGAGCTTGCATTTTTATTAAAAATCTGATGTGAGTAAGCATTCTCCCTCAGCCCCGGTTAGGCAGAGGCTGATGAACTACACTTTCTCCATTGGATAAAACTGGATGTGTTTCTGGATTCTTAGAGCAGATCAGGAGTGGACGGAAGAAGATTATTCGGCTTTCCATTCTGATATTTAAAAGCAACAAAAAAGAAAATAAGACCCTTCAGATTCTCTGAACCCACATAGTATTATACTTCAATAATGCTATAATATCACTGGAACATAAGTTGCAGTCAAGTAAAACTCATGGTACCTTTGTCTTGACATTGGCAGGTCGTAGAAGTTCCCAGTTCGTAGTTTGGATGCTACTTTCTTTGGACATGCTTTGAGTGGGCTTTCCAGACTGCAGGGTCTCCAACAGCGTGGATTTTCCTTGACGGGGAGGTCCAACAATGATCATCTTCATTAGTTTGCAGGGCTCAGCTTTCCGCAGCTGTGCTCTCAGATAGGTCAGTATTGAACTGGGGCCTGTAAGATGGTTACAAGTGACAAGTAATTTACCAAATTGCAATGCAGCACTGTTCTTGTGATTTAGATCAAATTCCTCTTCTAACTGCCTGTTATGAAACTCAATGTCCATTGCTAGACTTAATTTATACTTTAAGTTAAATGACTCTCCAAATCAAACAGTTGATAATCTCAAAGTATTTTCAGAGCAACACTTAATCCTCCAGTGACAAACTGCATCATGTCAATTCTATAATCTTCCAAATTACATTAGAATTATCCGAATTGTTTGGAGCTGGGTCCAGAGAGGGGTCAGGGTCAGGTTCGGGGAAGGGCTCCAGTGAGGAGGCTGGGTCCAGGGACGAGGCGAATTCCAGTCAGGGTGGTGGAACTGAGGCGGCAGCTCCAATTAGAGAGTTGTGGAAGAGTTGGGGGGCTCTGGTGAGGGAGCGGAGTCTGGTGAGTAGATTGAGGTATAAAATCACAATAGGTTAATAATCAATTACATCAACTAGTAAACCTATGACAATGGATTTCAATATAGACAAATGTGAAGTCATTATCTCTGAGCAGAGCACGGTGAAAAAAGGATAGAAATGATGAATTTAGAAAATGGTGGAAGTTGAGAAAGCCTTATATATCATTAAAACACCATGAATAGTTCAGCCATAGTCTCACTGAAAGGTAGAACAGCCTCAGATCTACATGGGCTCTTCTTGTGCCTAAGTTCCAATCTGCACCATCGCCTAACTTGAAAACACCCCCATGTCTTGACATAATGTCACATCACTGGTAGTTGGAAGAACATTGGAATAATGAATACAAGCTCAATTTACCTTCATTTCTGATCTCTGTGGGCACATTAGAGATATTTAATTGATCGATATCCAGCTGCCACAGATTAGCCAACTGGCCTAGCTCAGCAGGGAGCTCCCGAATTCCAGGGTTGCTGATGAAACAGAAGAAGTATTAAGTTGTACAGACAGACAGAATCTACACTAATCCACTGTGCAAGTAACCAACTGATTTTGGAGTCAGTTCGTCTGATAAACTCCAGTTTATTATAATTAAGGTACCATATACAAGAAAATTATTTTATTTATTTTGTCCTTCTTAACCCTGAGGGATAGACACAGCCTACCTGCCCATAACAGACTGAACTAAAACATGGACTTTTTCCACTCTCTGTGGAATAAATTCCACGGAGGGGAGTCTAGCAGAAACATTCATTAACTAGATGGTAATGTTTTTCTAGAAAATAAACTTTTAACAATCTGGCCACAGCTTTCAATTGAATAAAGCATGCTGCTGTCACTACAGGAGTCTACAGTAATCCCATACTTTTGAGTTATTATAAACAAGTAGCTGACTTACTTTGAAAGGTACAGCTCAGAGAGCGATCGCAGCCAGCACACTGACTGAGGGACTGAATCAAGAAAGTTGTTGTCCAGGTGCAGAACCTCTAAGCACTCACCAAGGAACTGTGGGAATTCAACTGGTGAAACTGAAAATAAAAGAATGAATGCATGTTGCTCCGTTAGTGTTTCATTACAAATTACTGTCCGCCTTTCTGTTAGGGCAGTGTTACATTTGCACAACAGTGTAGACACTGACTACACTGAAGAACTCTGACACTGGTTTTCAGAAACACAGTAGGAAATAGGACTGAGACTGCTCCCTGTTCCCCACTAGTGAAACCAAAATAGAATCACAGAATTTTATAGTAGAGGAGGCCACTTGACTCATTGTGTCCGTACTGGTTCCAGAAAGAGTTACCTAGCGAGCCCCATTCTCCAGTCCCATCTCTGTAAACTCAACACTTTTAAATATATATCCAGATTTCTTTAGAAACCTCCCATAGAATCTGCCTCTACCATTCTCCCAGGCAAAACATTGCAAATCTATCATCTCTGAGTAAAGACATTTCTCCTCATCTCACTCCTAGCACACTTGTTGACAATCTTGAAAATGTGACCCCTAGTTACTGACATATCAACCAGTGGAAAGAATATCCTTCTTTACCCTGTCAAAGTTGTTCATAATTTTGAACACCTCATTAAGGTCACCTCTTAACCTTCTCTGCTCCAAGGGGAATGAGCCCAATTTATCTAATCTTTCCTCATATCTAAAATCTCTTATTCTGGTATCATTTTAGTAAATCTCCTTAGCAATCTCTCCAGAGCTTTAACATCCTTTTTTAAAATCATAGAATCCCTACAGCTTGGAAGCAGGTCATTCGGCCCATTGAGTCCACATCACGCCTTGGAACAGCATCCCACTCAGACCCAATACCCTACCCTAAATCTGCAACCCTGCAAATCCCGTGGCTAATCCACCTAGCCTGCACATTCCTGGACACTATGGGCAATTTAGCATGGCCAATCCACCTAACCTGCACATCTTTGGACTTTGAGAGGAAACTGGAGTACCGGGAGGAACCCCACGCACAGAGACTGTGCAAACTCCACACAGAAAATGGCCCTAGGCTGCAATGAAATGCAGGTCACTGGTGCTGTGAGGCAGTGGTGCTAACCACTGAGCCATTGTGCCATCGCAGGTGTCCAGAACTGAACACAATACTCCAAAAATAGTCTGATCAATGATTTGTAAAGACATCACCTCCTTGTTTTTATACTCTATCCCTCTGTTTATAAATCCAAGGATCCTATAAGCCTTCTTAGCAACAGTTTCAACTTGCCTGGCCACCTGCAGAGAATTATGCACTTGAACCCTGAGATTCCTCTGCTTCTGTACTCCCCTCAAAGTTGTACCATTGCATCTGTATTGTCTGTGTTCTTCCTATCAATATGCATTATCTCACATTTCTTTGCATTGAAATTCATCTGTTAGGTGTTTACCTATTCGGTCAACTTGCCAATGTCTTTCTGAAGTCACTCAGCATCATTCCCATGATTCACTATTCTCCCTAGCTTAGCATCATTGGCAAATTTAGAGATTTTACCCTCCACACCTATCTTCAAATCATTTCTATAAATCAGAAAAGGCAAAGGTTTCAACACTGACCCCAGAGGAACACGACTTTCAACTTATCTCCAGTCTGAGAAATGTCCATCTATACCTACCCTCTGTTTCCTATCTTTTAGCCAACTTCTAATCCATGCTACCAAGGATCCATCAAACCCAAACATTTCTAATTTGCTGACCAATCTGACATGTGGCACTGTATCAAATGCTTTCTGATAGTTCCAAAATACAATATCCACAGGAATATCCTTATCCACTACCTGTGTCACATTGTCAACGAATTCAATTACATTTGTCAGACATGACCATGACAAAGTGATGCTGACTGTCTGGTATTAACTTATTTTTCTCTAAGCATATATTTACCTTATCTCGTATTATGGCCTCCATCAGTTTCCCTATTACTGGGTTATCATTTGTCCCTTTCTTAAACAGTAGTATCACATTTGCAATCCTCCAGACCCCCAGGGCTACTTCCGTGTTCAGAGGCGCTTGGAAATTTGTCAACAGCTTTGCAATTTGCTCCTGTACTTTTCTCAGCAATCTAGGATGCATCTCGTTTGGCCTGGCGACTTCTCTACCTGGAGTGTTGCCACCCTTTTTAGGACCTCTTCTTTAACTATCACTATACTGCTCAGTTATTCAACACCCACATTTTCAACTAAGCCATTGTCATCATCCTCTAATTTGGTAAAGTCAGGAGCAAAATATTTAGTTGGTACTTCTGTGATATCTTTTCCTTCAGTGAGCAGCTTACCTTAAGGGCTCCACTCTATCCATCACTTATCTTTTATATTGATATGTTTGAAGAACATTTTACTATTTGTTTTAGTACAGCTTGCCATCCTTTCCTCATGCGTCTCTTAGCCTTCCTTATTCCAGCGTTAGCCTCTCTCCTGCATTTGAAATACTCTTCCTAATTTCTATAACTGTTATTATTCCTGTATGCATCATATAATTAATTTTTCTTTATTATTTTCTCATCAATATCCTTAGTCACCCAGAATACTCTAGCTTTGGATACCCTATATTTATTTCTCATGGATATATACCTGGCTTGCGCCCTATTCATTTCCCTTTTGAAATTGTCCCATTTTTCATGCAGTGTTTTATCCACCAAAATGAGTTTTCAATCATTTTGCTCCAGTTTAACTTTTAGACTCCTAAGATCTACTCTTTTCGAGTCTGGAATCTTAATCTTTGACTGAATTTTATTCTTTTCCAACTTAACATTGAATCTTATTATGTTATGATCGCTGTTTCCCAAAAGATTTCCCACTCTCTCATTCTCGATTTGGCTTGCCCCATTTCCTCAGGCCAGTTCCAGCACAGCTCCCTCCCTGGTAGGGCTGGAAATGTCCTGTTCCAGAAAGTTCTGGTGCACACATTGCAGGAATTTCTCCTCTCTCCTACTTTATCCCCCATACTACCTTTTCACAGTCTACCCTAGGGCAATTGAAATCACCAACTATCACAACCCTACTTGTCTTTCAAATTTCCATAATTTGCTCTCTTCTACTGCCTACCTACTTTTTGAAGGTCTATAATAAACATCCAACAAGGTCACAGTTCTCTTCCTGTTTCCATAGAACATACAACGTTTATTCCAATACAACAGCGAACAGCTGAAATTTTCAATCACATTTACTGTATTCTTGCTTTTGGCCAGTAGACAGTTTTTAAAGACAGGTCCAACATATTTGGAATACAATGGTCAACAGTCAAGATGGCAACAGAGTAGGACGCTCCAGCCGGATTTCTTCTTCTCCGCCCGTTCTTTTTATTTTTTCCTTATTTTTCTGGATAACATGGTGGCTCTTTTTTCTCTTTTCCTGAGACTTTTAAAAACATTTTACTTTTTAAACTTACTCAGAGGGGAATGGAGGAGGCAAGTCCCGGACCGGAGGCCATCATGGGGCAGCGGGTCACAGACCTCTGGCCATCGCGGGGAGATGGGTCACAGACCAGAGGCCGTCATGGGGAGTCAAGGCCCTTGCGGACTGGAGGCGAGGCCTTGGGTTTTGAAGCCCAGTGCGGTCTGGAAACTTGGCCTTTTGTGGTCTAGAGGTTAGGTGCTGGACTTGTGTGAAAAGGACTGAAATTCGAGTACATTTTTTAAAAAAAAACTTTTAATCTTATGCTGGACTTTGTACCAAATACTTAAGTATCTGTACCTAAGATGGCGCCATAAGCGGCGACATAGCAAACTTTTCACTGTGCTCATTTGAGTACATGTGACAATAAAGCTCATTCATTCATTCAGCAGAGCCACACCAAAGCAGCTAAGCGCTCAATTTTCTCTTTCCACTGGAAATTATGGAACAGGGAATGTGGAAGAGATTTTATGGATGTTTTTAAATGTAGGAATGGTTCTGGTAGAGCAAATAGGGGAAGACCTTGTTGGAGATTCAGGGTCAATGTTCATCAAGGGAATGAGCAGAGCAGTTAGGAAAAACATCTTTTCTCAGGCGGTAGATGAAGCGTGGGATACTTTGTCACAGTGACTGGTTGAGTTCAACACCGTGGTTCAGCACTTGCAGCTGTTCAAACATTTGCACTCATCATTGCCAATATCAAACGCAGGAGGAGGATTGGTCCACAATATTAATGGCCCATTGAAGGGGTAGACTATTACAGCCCAATACTGGTGTACATAGAAACATCTTAATCTCAGTAAAATGGTGCCAAATGTTAACATATTATCCTTTCAATGCTGACCAACTAAAGAGTGCGAGAATGTATGTAATGGGATAGATGGATCAGAGAACTGGCAAACACTCAATGGACCAAATAGCCTTTCCCTCTACTGTAAAACTCTACAAAAAATTCTCTGCCAATTAATGCTTGGGCAGTTTCTTTCCTTGGCTGTGGGAACACAGTTCTACTAATCAGGTAGTGCAGGGAATATTAGCTCAATTCTCATAAAGGAAGTTTGAGAAATTGAATTTGGTTTAAAACATCTGAAATGAGTAAAAGCAATCAAGAAGCTGTCAGATTGCCATAGAAATCCAAGTAATTTCAGATTCATTCTCCAAGGAAGAAAACCTACTTTTCTAAAACAGTCTGGTCTACTTGGCATTCTGGTATTCCATGAAGGTGCCTGGATAATTAATTGCCCCCTGAAATGAACTTGCAGCCATGCAGAAAGGCATCTTACAATAACCTCAAGCATAACCAGAGATTGGAAATAAATGTCAGCTTGCTAGTGATTCCCACATTCGAAGAACAAAGAAAATGAAAAACAGTTCATTTGTTGGCAGATGATGTGTGACGAAGTGTTCAAATGAGAGATTTTTATAATGATAAGTCACCTTTATTGGACTGAGTTGTAGTCCAATTCAGAATGAGGCCCAGGATGGGTAGGTCAGAGAGTTCTATTCCATAACTAACTCTCTTGCCCTGTTGGTGTGGTTACTAGTGATCTACTGCGGTAAGGAGGAATGTAAATGATCAGTTAAGTGGCAGATGCAGTTAAATAGTGAACAATATGCAAATACAATTTGTGAAACAACAGTAAAATGTAGATCTTTAAGAGTAAAGTTTTCAGTGGAGTGGAGTCATATAAATGAACATAAATGTGAATTCCTAAAAGCAGGTGGGCAATTTAAAAAGCCATGAGACAAACTGTATACAGAAAGTAGAAAGATCAAGAATACTTAATACTGTATTTAGAACTACGTGCAAGTTTCAGACTCCCCTCAATAGAAGGATTATATCAAGAGCAACACCATATAGATTTACCATAAAGATTGCAGGGTTGTGGACTTAGGTTACTGTCATGTAAAACTTAATTGAAGCAGCCACATAAATACTGTAATTACATGAGCGGGTCAGAGGGTAGGAATACTGCAGTGAGTAACTCACCTCCTGACTCCCCAAAGCCTGTCACCCAGCTACAAGGCACTAGTTAGGGTGCCTTTTGCACCCCCAGAGGCTTGCTTGATTCTCCTTTCTCACTGCTACTTGCACGTCTGACCCACTCTTCCTTCCTCAGTGGCCAGCCCAACTTTCTGCTCTCACACCCCCAACAGGGCTCCTAATTCTGCCCAACTCTTCCACTCCTCCCCTGATTGTGCCCCCTGACACATCCCACAACCCCACCTGGTCACCCTTCAACTTGGCACCATGTTCCCGTGCCAACATTTCTGTCTCTGGCCTGCTGCAGTGGTAGAGTGAATTTCAATGTAAGCTGAAGGAACAACACCTCATCTTCCACCTAGGTACCTTATAGTCTTCAGGACTCAACATTGAGTTTAACAATTTGGGAACATGATTACCCTCCTCTGTTGGTTACCCACTATCCCCACCTTCTTCCTCCCCCCATCACCACCACCACCACCAACCTCCACAACCCCCAAACCCAGCCCTTAGGTCCTGCATTAAGTGGGTTGTTCCTTGCACAGCCAACCTATTTTCAACTATTCACATTTCTCATTAGTATTTTCCCAGCTATCGGCAATTCTGAAAAACGGTCAAAATGTTAACTGTTTTTTGCTTACAGGTGCTGCCAGACCTGCTGTGTTTTTTCCAGCACCATGGCTTTTGTTTCAGACACATGGTCATACTACCTACAAAGGTACGCTTCAAGTCATTCACATCCAGATGCAGAGACTGTTGCTATTCCTTCACTGGCACTGGTCATAATCCTTAAATTCCCTCTTTAACACACTGGGGCTTAAGCACGAACTTCAAGAAGATGATTTATCACCACCATCCCAACAGCAATTAGAAATGATCAAATACCGAACTTGCTAGTGACACCCATATCATAAGAATGAATTAAGAAGTGATGGGATAGTTGACCATAAATGACTGAAATTCTAAAAACACTGAAAGAAGCAGAATTAGAAACAGGGAAAGTAGGTAAACTGGACTGTGTAAAAATAACTTCAGCTGTTGGGTCAACATTCTGTGAGGTGAAGGGTCTCTTCCCACATATGTCCCAAAGTTTTCTTGATTTTTTTTCACCTGTGTCCGAAGTTTTCTTTAACCATGTTGTAAAAAAAGCTTTTCTAGTTCTGACTCCTTCTTCACTCCTGCACACAGAAAACAACAGAACATCTAGCTGTAAGAATTAGCAGTGAATTTGGAGCAACCACCAAACTTCACACAACAGCCTGATAGGTCACTGCACAATATTCTGATACATACCATACTCCACTGCAATACACTGACAGGCTAGTAGAATGTGCAGACATGTGGCAGACGGAATCTTGATATATTGTGAGATGATGTGTTTTGGCAGGAGGGATAGTGAGAGTTATACACTTAACAGCGCAGTTCCACAGAAGGAGCTGCAGGGAAAGGGGGACCTAGGGTTTAAATGCATAGATCTTTCAAGGAGGCAGGATGTACTGAGGGAGCAATTAGCAAAACATCTTGGGCTTTTAAATAGAGCTATTCAGTTCATATGCAAAGAAGTTCTGCTGAACCGTTAGAAAGCTCTGGTTAAGACAAAACTACAGAACTGCGCCTAATTCTGGTCAATACAGGCTGAATTTTGTCCTTCCCAGAGTTGGATTGGAAAGGGAGAGGATAACATAAAAATGGATGTAATGCAATGGGTGCTGTTTGAGGCCCCCTCATCCACCCCCAGGCACTATGTTGTGCACAATGGGGGAGGTGAACAAACTGCGCCACCGAAGGACCTCTTTGCACACTGCAATTTTTCCTGCTGCAGTCATAGGCCAACATCAAGTTTGAAGCCAGCAGCATTTACTGTTCAGTCAAGGTTAGGAGGTACCTCCTTTATGGGACCTTCCCTGTGTCCTTCCCTTTTCCCAGTGATCAGTGCATGAACCCCCACTCGAATCGCCATGCTTGCTACAAGCATGTTGGTTTGTTCCTGGAGATAATCACTCCCTACCCACTTTCCTTAGTCTGGCTCCAGTGACAATCTCCACTGCTGACATGAGACAGTCCTGGTATCTACCTCTCCCTATCCCTATTCCTTCTGCCAAGATGCATTGCCTCACTTTCTTGTATTAAATTCACCTACCACCTGCTTGACCAATTTTCTTGTTTATCTTACACCAGATTGGGGCAAAAATCTCAACTCAAGCCACTTAAAGCTCCCCAGACATTATCCAGCTACAGGGAATCCAGCTCGTGATACTTAAATGGGATAGAGTGGGGTGAATGGGACTGACTGGATTGCTCTATAGAGAGCCACAAACTCTACAGGCGTCCTGTATGACACAAGACTCTATGGTGATACTTACACACACTTATCACAAAGATCACTATGGGTGGGAAAAGAAGATGCAGACAGCAGTGGCATTGGGCAATAGGGAAAGTAAATGATCACCCTCCGCAACAGATTCCTCCCCCACATTCTGCCGTGTTCTAGGTGCAGAAACATGGAAATTAAACACCAAGTAAACCAAACAAAACAACTGCTGGGCGGAGTTGAATAAGTCTTGGGGATTGGTCACATTGCGGTAAGTCATTTGTGACTGACATTGCTACAAGTTTCCTCCTTTGAAAATTCTGAGTTGGGTGCTAGGGAATATTAAATGATCATGTGTCCTGCCCCTGACTTGTGACTGCAGCAGTGCTGGGTATCCCAGGCTATCTCAGGATTTTTGCCCAGTATGTCACTGGCAGGCTCTACAAGTCCCACAACCAAAGTCCAAACTTACTGTGCAGGATCAATGACTTCTAAATACCCATCACTGCTTCCACCCCAATGCTCCACTCAGAATGCAAATGCAAGGACACATTCAAGACAAGAAATCAGGATGAACCATGGATGAACTCACAAGGCTCGCTCCAAATAATGAAAACATCTTTGATTTTAAACATGGTGTTGGACAGTACTTACTTTCCAAGATGATTTCGAGAGAGATCAAGTGATTTCAGGTTAGAGCACTGCCATTTATCCACTGGAGGAAGAGACTGTATCTGATTTCCAGATAATTTCAGAGAGCTCAGGTTCTGTCACCATTAAAAAAGTGGTTTGAGATATCATAGTCGAAGACAGCAACATAGGTTAACATCAATATGTTCACCAAGCCCAAACAACAACACTGTATGTGATGTGCTGAGTCTACACACAGGAAACTGGAGCAGAAGGAGAGGGAAGTCCCATGCTTTTGGGGGTTGGTTTGGGGGCAGGGGATAGTGGTGGTGCGGAGTTGTTGGAATATTGTTCTAGAGGTAGATTAAGGGAACATGAGTAGTATCCTAGCACTTTCGTTAGAGGCAAGCACTATAAAATGGTAAATTTAATTCAGGTCTGCAAGTGTGATAGAAATAACATGGAGTAGAAAAGCCCAACAGGGATATACTAGAGATGTTGCATGTTAAGGGAAATATGAGAAGATTATGCAGAGTCAGAAGACCATTCAGCCCTCTCGGCCTGCTTTACCATTCAAGCAAATCAAAGCTGACATTAAAATCCATTGGGCACAATTACTCCATAAGGTTTAAGATTGTTACCCAAGAAAAATTTATTCATGTAAGAGCAGAAAGCTCCAGTTTACCCCCAGCTTTTAGCGTAAGGTGGATAAGAGTTCCATATCCTATGACCTATGGTGTGCTGTAGTGTTTCCAGATTTCCCTTTAAAAAAAATTACCTTTATGTAAATTATCACACAATTTAATCCTTTTGGTCCAGCTAATCGCTGTGGTGAATTGATACCGTACCTTCTCCAAGATGAATATATCCTTCCGTGGCATACTGCTCAAAATTGAACACAGGACTCCAGATAGGGTCTGGTGAAGGCCCTGTACAACTGAAGCATAACTTACTTACACTGTAACTGCATGCTCCCATTTAGGACAACTCATTGTGCCTCTAAACTCAATGTTGGAGGCAGACAGTAATATACAACTCTCGCTTCCTTTATTCATCATAGCAAAGTCGCCATAGTCTTACCAGTTCACAGGGTTGCTCTCTCATTGGAGAGAGATAACTGGTGATAGTTTAACCTGACGGCCACCACATCTTAGATGAGGGAGAGGCTGAGAAGGAGTGTCCTTCATGGTAACCTCAGCAGGTGTGGAATTGAGGCTGTTGGCGTTACTCTGCATCATAAACCTGCTGTCCAACTAAGCTAACCAGTATCACAGGATTTACATGGAAGAGATGTGGAGAAACCCAGTGGATGGTTTTCCATTATTTCAATCCATCAGTCTTTTACAGAAAACAAATCCCAAAATTGTGCACAAATACCTTAAGTTCAAAGATGTTTGCTGGCACGTCCTTCAACAAATTGTCAGAAAAATTTGCTTCTTTAAGATAATTCTTCCAGAAGATACTCAGAGTGTTTGGAAGGGATTTCAAGAAATTTCCAGAAACGTTACAAAATTTCTAGAAATATAGAAAAGAAGTTGCACTTTAACAATCATGTTAGTTTTAGGCATTCCACCTTCTCTTGACAAGTACAGGAAAACGTGATTACTATTTCTTATAAACATTCATTATCCAAATGATGCACATGACCAAGTCATTGCAGACATCAATGATTTAGGAGTGCATATATGCTGATAAAAGGAGCACGTTCCAGGACCAGAAACTTTCTGATGGCAAGACAGTCACAGAGTCATGACCTGTTGAATGTCCATACCTCCAAGAGAAGGCCATCTGTGTGTGTGAGATGGATAGAGAGCACTGGGAGACACCCCCAAAGGCTGGACCCTCTACAGTCTCAGTCTGGAAGAGTATATGAACTGGCCTGATCGAAAGCCTTCTGAAAATATAAGTACTCCACATCCCTGGTTCTCCTCGACACTATGCTACATGGAACATCCTCATAAATATTTCAACGTGTTTTACCAAACAAGATTTGCCTTTCATAAATCCATGCAGTCGGTCTTCAACTTCACCATTTCTTTTTAAGTGTCTCGGTATCATAACTTTTATAATAAATCCTTATACTTTCTCTACTAATGATGTCAAACTAATAAATGTGCAGTTCTCCATTTGCTTTCTCTCTCTCTTCCTAAATAGTGGAGTTACATTTGCTATTTTGCTGTCTGCAGTAACCTTTAGAATTTTAAAGATAACCAACAATGCATTTTCTGTTACTATAACCACCTTTTTCCAACACTGGGATGTAGCCCCTCTGGCCAAGGGGATTTAGCAGTAGTCAGTCCAGTTAACGTTTCATGTACTACCTCTTTACTAAACCAATTCTTTTGGTTCTTGAATTTCACAAGTCCCTTGGTTTACTAGTATGTCTGGGAGATTATCTGTATCTTCTGTGATGACAAAACAATTTTTTTTCGTTTTTCTGCAATTTCCCTGTTCTTCATCAACATGGGCTCACCTTTAATTTCACCTGTAATTTGTCCAGAGTTAATCATTTCCTTTTCACATACATGAAGTAGTTCTAATAGTCCACCTTCAAGTTCTCACTAGCCTGCATTTATATTCTCTTTTCCCTTTCTTTATCAATTTCTTCAACATTCTACACTCCCACTTCTCAGGCTTACTACTATTTCTGGCCTCCTAATAAGCCAGTTTCATTGTTCTAATGCAATCTCTAACTTCTTTTATTAGGCATGGTTGACTCATCTAGGTGTCTGTGCCTTGGAAGAATGAATGACGATTTATTGTCACTTGTATTTTACAGTAAAATACAGTGAAAAGCTTCAACTGTCATCACAATTTGGTACCATTTTGAATAGTTTAAGAATAAAAAGAATAAAAATATCTAGCTGAAATAAGAGTTCATCTTCGTTCTGCTACCTCCACCATGAGTTCTGAACTGGATCACCAACGACACCTGTGCTTCCACCCCCCCTACAATGACATATATCTGTTGTAGGCCACGTGGTAACTTTTTGAATATTGCCCAATGATCAAATTCTTTACTGCATTTTTCTAATCCACATTTTTCTATCCAAATTGCCAAACTTTTGTCCAAAGTTAAGATCTTAATTTCAGGATAAACTACATCATATTCAAATTTAATGAGAAATTATGTGTTATTATGGTCATTATTTTCCCACAGCTCCTTTTCAGCAATTGTATTAATTTGCTGTTTCTCAATACAGAATACTATATCTAAACAGGCCAATCCTTAGTTAGCACTTCAACATGTTGCTCTATCTTATACACAGCCCTGGAATTTATCCTCTGTAGTATTAGAGTTGACTTGGTTGATCCAGACTATGAATAAGTTGAAGCTGCCCATTATTACTGTTTTACGCATTTCTATATTCCTGATTTCTCCCATGTCCAACCTTACTACTACTACTGTTTGCTGGACTGTAAACAACTTCGATCCAATTTTTCTTTTTCTCAGCTCCACTCAAACTGATTCTATGTCTTGATCTTTCAATCTAAAATCCTTTTTTATTAACATTTTGATCTCATCCTTTATTAAGGCTGCTATTCCACCTTCTTTTCCTTTTAGCCTCTCCTTCCTAAATGTTGAATATCATTTGATGGTCAGTTCCCAATCTTGGTAACTATGTCGCCACTTCTCTAATGGCAATTAATTCATACACATTTACTTCAATTTGTGTACTTCAATTTGTGCCTTCAAATCAACAACTTTATCACAAATGTAACAGACATTCAACTAAAATGAATTTAAATTTGCCTTTTTAACAGTTTTCTCCTTTCTGATCTTATTTAATACATGCCTATGCTTCATCTTTCATCTAATTTCACTTACTACTTTTCTAATTCTTGTTATAAGTTTTAATTCCCTCCAATCTGAGCTTTTTCTCACATTCCAATCAATTACCAATCCAGTTGAATCTTCCCAAAAGCATTCGCAAATGTCTCTGCAAGGATATTAATCCCAGTCCTGCTATGGTGTAACCCACCCATTTTATGCACGTGCATCAGAACCAGTATTAATGCCTCAGAAATCCAATACCCTCTCTCCAACACCAATTTTCCAACCATATGTTCAACTTCTCAATTGTCCAATCCTATGCTCTCTAGCATGTGGCTCTAGAAATAATCCTGAGATTACTGCTCATGAGGTCCTGCCTTTGAATCTTCTTCCTGGTTGCTTAAATCCTGCTTTAAGGACATCATCCCTCTTCCTACACAGGTCATTGGTATCAATGTGGATCATGACCTCTGGCTGTTCATCCTTCCTGAGAAGAATTCCTGTCGTTGAAAGCCTACAGTTTACTGTAAACTCACCAGCAGTGGTCAATACAAGCATTGGAATTCCGACTGCTCCATGTGCCATAAGGTTGGCCTCAATTTTGTCCATTTGCTTACCGTGTAAGCTTGATGCTAAAGTTGAGCACAACAATGTTATCCAGTGGGATAATGGCTATTCAAATCAAATTATGGCTTGCTATGAATTATGTATACTCATGAATACTACAACTGTACCCTTGAAGGCTAAGATGGCTCAAATATTTGAGCAACATGTACAGCTAGCCATTTCTTGGAGTAATAACACAAGTATCAATATTCACTAACAGGATGCTGTCGTTAGGCCAATAATAACTTCTGCTTACCACACAACTGAGTAATACCAGGTACATGGGCCATACATTGCAACAACTAGCAAATGCCTGTTCCTTTAGCTGTTCACAATAGACAAATACTCAACCAACTTGTGATTCTCAGAATGTAATGTCTAAAGAATTGCAATTCTATGGTGGACATCACTTGTTGAAAATCCTGAGTGCGCAAAGATTTACAGTAACAATTAATTTATCATTACTAGCCAGGCTTGCAGTATGTCTCACATTTGCCAGATTTATATATATATTCATATGCAGGAATCAGTCTTCTGCTTAAAAAAGTAACATGCCAATGTCATGTGCCTTTTTTGGCATAAACAAAAGTATAGGAGAAAACAACTCTGTAGTGTATGCTCCAAGGCAATGCCTTGACTCTGATCGGTCAATCTGTCCCCCAATCAGTACACTTTTCTCATGCAGAGTGGATTACATTCTTGCATCTGTCCTGATAAGGGTAAAATGAAAAGCTTAGACAGCATGTATCATTTTTAAGCAAAACTCAAGCTCTATACTACCAAAAAACTATTAGTTATGGATTTCCTGAGCAGAGTATTTAAAACCCCGCCAGCCCCACCAACTTTCTGTTCAGTTTAAATACATTCCTCGAGAACTCTGCACAACTGTGCTTACCAAAGGACAGGCCCAAGGTTCAGGAAAATCCTTGAGTGTATTTTGAGATGCTTTCAACCTACTGAGGGACTTGCAGCAGTGCAGGAACGTAGAGGGTAAAAGCTGAAGTTTATTGTCAGAAACATCAATCTCCTGGAGTTTTCTCAATCCAATCCAATTTGTTGCTGGAGGGAAAGGAATCAATTAAAAACAAATCACACAGTGTAAAAAGAAAAACAATTTGGGATATTTTCTATGATTAAGATTGCTATACCTTTTTCCTCATCAAATAACATTTCCAGCAAATTGGCGTAAGCTGTGAGTTTCTCAAGCTTTGGTAGATGTAAGAAGCCAGTGGGCAGGCAGCTCAGTTGGTTCCTTGACACATCAATTTCCAGAATACTGCAGAAGTATAACATAATCCTGTTAACTGAATGTTTGACACTGCACTGAAACATCTTTTCAGCAAATTTTCTACCTGTCAAGACCCTCGGAACCTTGTATGTTTTAATAAGATCATCTCTTATTCTTCTAAAACTTTAATGAATAAAAGCTTAACCTGATTAGCCATTTTTGATGAGTCAATGCCTTCATCTCAGAAAGCAGCCTAGCGAATCTCTTTTGAATGGCTTCCAACACCAGTGTATGTTTTTTTGAAAATACAGGACCTAGTCTGTCCACAGTGCTCCAGGCACAGCCTCACTAACATCCTGTACCATTGTAATAAGAAGTTCCTTCTTTTTAAACTCCGATCCCCAGTAATAAAGGCCAAAATCCATTTGCCTTCTTAATTACTTGCTGAACTGCATGGTAATGTTTCATGTTTCATGCATGAGACCACCCTCTGCACTGCACTGTTTGGCGTCAATTACCATTTAAATAATTGTCTAACTTTTGAGTCTTACTGTCAAAGTACACGACCACACACTAAGTTCCATCTACAAAGTTTCTGCCCATTCACTTCATCTAGCTATGTCTCCCCTTGCAGATTCCTCATATTCTCATCACAACATGCCCTCCTATTGTCTGCAAATTCAAATACATTACAATCTGAACCTCTAGATCATTAATATAGATAGAAAATAATTGATGCCCTAGAACCAATCCTTGTGGCACTCCATGAGTTGTGCTTTTCCAACCTAATAAAGACACATCAATTCTGACTCTGTGTCAAGCAACTCTCAATCCATGCTCAAACATAATCCCTAATACTATGAGCGTTTATTTGCGCACCTAATCTGAAAATTGCAGTTTTCCAATCTGCTGGAACCTTCCTGGAATCTAGTGAGTTCTAAACTATTTCAATGAATGCAGCAGCCATCTCTGTGGCACTTTATTTATAAAATGTTGGATGACGACCATCAGGTCCTGGTAACTTATCTGTCTCAAGTCCCATTAGTTTGGCAAATACTTTGTCCCGCATGATCGAGCTTGTTACAAGAACTTTCCTCCCATAAGCACCTTGCTTATCTATTATCTTAAGGATGCTTAAATTATCTGAAATTTCCCTACTCCTATTATTAATTTCCCAGTTATAACCTCCAAGGGTCCCATACTCTAGTACCTTTTGTGATACTATAAACTTCACAATTTTGATAACTTCATGGATCAAAAGAACCAGTAATAACTCTTTCTGGAATAAACTGTTTCTCGAGGTGAAAGACATGGAGAAACTTTTATGAAGGAATTAAGAGGAACGTGTCAAATAGTCGTACCTGGGAAGAAGCAACATACACAAGCCATTTCCTGGGAGAGAAGAGAAACACTGCTTCATAACCTGCTGCCTCATGACAAACAGACAATTTAAGTTTGCCTGCAGAAGTCATGTTCTGAAGTAAAGAGGTTAATTGCAAGAAAAGCTGTGTTTTAAACAGACAGCTAACACCAATTGTAACAAGGAACAGGGGAGCTACTTCTGATACGGCAGTAAGTTACAGACTTGAGGTCTCCGGAAGTATAATCAATGTTGGGGATGAAAGAATCTATTGAATCATCAATAATATCACACCACAACCTTGAAAAGAGTGAAAATTGTATAAGAATCCAACACCAGAACAATCCAGTCGCAGAACTTCTAAGAACAACACTGCATAAGGATCGAACTCTGGACACTTCCAGAGATAAACACTGTTTGTTGGAATGCTGGCCTGATTCCATTAATTGGATAATAGCCAAGTTGAGGTGTTAGGCTTAACTTGCTTACTTGAGGGGTCTTATTTTGGTTGCTACATGCAATAAAGTTTAACATCGTTGTTTCAGTACTTTATTGTCTGTGAGATTTCTTAGTAAGTAGCAAGGTAATTTGTGATGATTCACCCGCAATAGTTTCTTTATACGTGTCAAAAGAACCTCTCACTGTTTGTTTTATATTTCTTACCAATTTACTTTTGTAATCAACTTTCTTCTTCTTTATTAGCTTTTTGGTCATCTGACACTGGTTCTTAAAATATTCCTAATTCTCTGGCCTATTACTAGCTTTGTATGCCTTAGTTTTTGATTGGATCCTGTCCTTGACAACCTTAGTTAACCACGGATAGTTCATCCTTTTCATCCAGTCCTTCTTTTTGACTGGAATAATTTTTTGCTGAGCGTTATGAAATATCTGTTTAATGTCTGCCATCGCTTATCCACTGATTTTCCCTTAGTCTATTTTCTCAGACCGCTTCAAATAGCTCTTTCTTCAATTCTCTGTAATTGCCCATATTTAAGTTATGGACACTAGTTTGAGACTCTCAAATTGAATTTCACATTCTACTATGTTATGATCACTATCTGCTAGAGTAGCCTTAACTATGAGAACTCTTATTAATCCTGCCTCATTACTAGATCTAAAATAGCCCATTCCTGGGTAGGTTCTGCAAAATACTGCTTTAAGAAACACTTCCTGGTGAACTCCAGAAATTCATCTTCCATGTCACTCTCGCCCATCTGACTGGTCCAGTCAAAATGGAGATTAAAATTACGCATGGCAATTGTACAGCTCTTCTTAGACAGCTCCATTATTTCTTGATTTATACTTTGTCTCAGTGAAGTAACACTTTTGGGGCCTATAAACAACTCCCACCTTTAACTTCTTTCCCTTGCACCTATATCACTACTCATCATTACACTGAGACCTTCCTTTATTAACAGAGCTACCTTACTACCCTTTTATTTTTGCTTATTCTATTGGAATATCAAATACCCTTGAATATTCAAGTTGCCAGTCTTGATCACCCTATAACCATGTCTCTAACAACTGTTAAGTCATATTCACTTATTTCTATCTTGCTACAAATGCTGCAAGCATTCAGAAGAGCCTTAAAGCTTTGAAATTGTACCATTATTCTCCTCTCTGTGTCTAATTTAAGCTGCACATATATTTGACACACCTCTGTTCTCTTGTTTCTTTATTTTTTAAAACTTCCCTTCAATTGAACCCTCTCCTCTCCATACAGACCTTATGAGTATTCGCAGTTTCATCATGTCAGATTCCCAGCTGCTGCAGTATTTACTAGTTTAGCAGCCTCTGTTTTCATCTCTTCATTTACCTCAACTTTCTTCAACCCCAAACTCACTGTACACACAAGTTAGACTGAACAAGACCCCTGAAATTATGCTTCTGATTTGTCACCTACCCTAAGCAAAGTATTTCTTCTGAAGAGGTCACATTGGGCAGGTCCTTCAGCTGATTTGCGGACAAGTTGAGTTTTTTCAGATGCACTAATCCCCAAGGAATAACTGAAGGAAGGAAAGTGAGACTGTTCCTACACAAATCAAGCTCTGTTATTCGATTGGAAACATCAATGAACCAGTCCAACTCTAACCAGGGCAGCTTCAGGCACGACCACTTCAGTGACAGGCCCTGTAGTTTAAACACAAGTAGAAGAGAGCATTACAGCACGGAAGGAGGTCATCAACTTCCATTAGTCCCACTCCCATTTTTTCCATCATATCTCTTGCAAATGTTTATTTTCCAAGTATAGATCCAATCACCATTTGAAAGTTATTAATCTGCTTTCACCACTTTCACTAGGCAATGCATTCCTGACCACGACACCACAAAATTTAATCAAGAAAAGCCTAACAATGTACAAAAAAAAATGTTTGTCATCTCACGACTGACTTTTTTTTTGCCTGCAATGTTGTGTCTGTGTCCTCTAGTTACTGGGTTTTTATATAAGGTTTGTGCTTCTTTTTAAAAATACCATGTCACTAACACAGTTTTCAAGAAATTCTGAACAGATGGTTTCATGTAAGCTTTAGAAATATTGGGGTAATTTTAACCCTTTTTCAAAATTAACTGCATCTACATGTATTAAAAGAAACTAGGGAAGTGGCCTTAGATAACAAGGTGTAGAGCTGGATGAACACAGCAGGCCAAGCAGCATCAGAGGAGCAGGAAAGCTGACGTTTCGGGCCTAGACCCTTCTTCAGGAAGGGAAGTGGCCTTATCACATTTATAAAAGAATTGGTGTCAGAAAACCAGTGACCAGCAAACATGTTTCCAACGTTTATGACGGCAGAAAGAACAAAGTCCAGGGAGTTGTAGATCCATTAAGCTGACATCCATGCTGGTTAAAGCACCATAGATTGCAGCACTGAAGCCGCAAAAAATCCTTCCAAAAACAGTGTTGAATGTACACACCAAGTGTAAAATGTGAACCTACTTTGAAATGTGAAAAACAAAAATTGTAATTCAAATTAAGTCAAACTGACATGATTTATTGAATGAATTAATCCTACAAAATAATTTTAAACATAAACAAAAAGTCTTAAAAACACATCAAATTCACTGTTTTGGAATAGATCTGTAGCTCGGGTTGTGGGTGTTGAGGTTGGTTGGCTTGCCGAGCTGGTTTGTTGTTCCGCAGACATTTTGTTACCGTGCTTGGTAACATCCTCAGTGCAGCCTCTGATGAAGCGTCAGTGTGTTTTCCCGCCTGGTTTTTAAACTCTGGAGTCCGTTGCAATGGATTGCCTCACTTCCGGGTTTCCTCTGTAGTGGAATGTATATGGGGTCGAGTTCAATGTGTTTATTAATAGCATGCTTCGTGGAGTGCCATTCTTCCAGGAATTCTCGTGCTAGTCTCTGCCTAGCCTGTCCCAGGATCTTGGTGTTGTGTCAGTCGAAGTTGTGGTTCTCCTTGTCCATGTGGATTGAGATGAGTGAGTATTGGTCGTGTCTTTTTGTAGCCAGTTGGTGTTCATGTACTCTTGTTGTTAGTTTCCTTCCCTGTTCATCCAATGTAGTGTTTCTCACAGTCTCTGCAGGGGATCTTGTAGGTGACATTGGTCCTGTCCATGGCGGGGAGTGGGTCTTTAGTTCGCGTGAGCACTTGTCGTAGAGTTGATGTGGGCTTGTGTGCCACTCTGATGCCCAGTGGTCGTAGAAGTCTTGTGGGGAGTTCTGAAGTGCTCCTGACGTAGGGTAGTGTGATGAGTGTGTCGGGGCGTGTAGAATCTTTCTGATGCTGTTCCTGTAGGCATCTCCTGACCCAGTTCTTTGGATATCCATTATCCTTGAACACTTGGAAGAGGTATTCCTCCTCCTCTTGGCATAGTTCCGTGTTGCTGCAGTGTGTTGTTGCCCTTTTAAATAGTGTTTGCACGCAGCTTCGTTTGTGTGTGCTGGGATGGTTACTATTGAAGTTCAATACCTGGTCTGTGTGTGTGGCTTTTCGCTGTACTTTCATTTGCAGTTCCCCGTTTGTCTTGCGCTCTACCATGACGTCCAGGAATGGGAGTTGTTTGATCTTCTCCTCCTCTCTGGTGAATTTTATTCCAGTGAGGGTGTTGTTTATGAGTTTGTGTGTCTCTTCTAATTTGGTCCGTTTAATGATGACAAAGGTGTCGCCTACGTAGCGTATCCATAGTTTAGGTTGGATTTGCGGAAGGGCAGTCCTTTCCAGTCTTTGCATCACTGCTTCTGCTAGGAGTCCGGAGATAGGCGATCCCATGGGTGTCCCGTTGATTTGCTCGTATGTTTGGCCGTTGAAGGTGAAGTGGGTGGTCAGGCATAGGTCCAGTAGTTTAAGCATTGTGTCCTTGGAGATGGTTTCATTGTGAAATGTGAAGTACAAACCACCCATTAACAATCCACAAGCCCGGAAAACAGCAGAACAAAACGGCCGCAAGATGGTAAGGGTAATGATAAATGACGCACACAACCGGCTCCACAAATACAACAGAAAAATTATGCACCAAAAAGCGTTATTCCAGGAAGCTACCAATCAAGACTGGACAACCGACATGGAACGAGCCATTAACATCAGCCAACAGACCACAAGAGCCAAGAAAAGACAGACCCTGCAAGACAAGCTAACCACGCTTACCCACAAAAACAACAACAGAACTGATACATGGATAAGGAACCTTTCCGACAAGAAAATGACAGACGCGGAAAAAGCCATTCTCACGCAGGGACTGAACTACAACTACAGGGACGCCAACAAAACGGAATTGCTAGCTACACTGGAAGCCACACTCAAGACCAACAACATCAACGAAGAAACACAACAAACTATAAGATAGACAGTAGTCCCGACACTAACCAGAAAGAGGGAACTCAACACCGTCAACACCCGGGAAAGACAAGCCCTGGACAGATTAAAGAAGGACAAGAACATCACTATACTACCTGCAGACAAAGGGCGCATGACAGTGATAATGAATAAAAAGGACTACATCTCCAAAGCACAAGCACTGCTCGCCGATGAGAACACATACCGACCAGTACAGACTGACCCGACACCACAACTAGGCAACAAAATCCTATACACGCTACAAAGACTTAAACAAACAGGACAGATCAACAAAACAGACTTCTTAAGAATGAAACCCGAAGGAACCAACACACCCCGATTCTACGGCCTCTCTGAAGTGTACAAGCCGGAAGTCCCCCTCAGACCCATAGTCCCCCTACCAGGAACTCCATCGCACAGATTAGCCAGAGAACTACAAAGAAGACTCAAGCACCTAGTCAACAAATCACCCCACTCCATCCACTCAGCCCAAGAATTCCTCAACTTCATCAAAGACATAAAGATAAAGATAGAGGACGAAGAGACCATGATATCGTTTGATGTCACCGCCCTATCCACATCAATAGCCATACCACTAGCAAGGGAAACAATGACAACACTACTTGAACAAGAACATGACCCCACTGAAACCATCTCCAAGGACACAATGCTTAAACTACTGGACCTATGCCTGACCACCCACTTCACCTTCAACGGCCAAACATACGAGCAAATCAACGGGACACCCATGGGATCGCCTATCTCCGGACTCCTAGCAGAAGCAGTGATGCAAAGACTGGAAAGGACTGCCCTTCCATAAATCCAACCTAAACTATGGATACGCTACGTAGGCGACACCTTTGTCATCATTAAAAACGGACCAAATTAGAAGAGACACACAAACTCATAAACAACACCCTCACCGGAATAAAATTCACCAGAGAGGAAGAGAAGAACAAACAACTCCCATTCCTGGACGTCATGGTAGAGCGCAAGACAAACGGGGAACTGCAAACGAAAGTACAGCGAAAAGCCACACACAGACCAGGTATTGAACTTCAATAGTAACCATCCCAGCACACACAAACGAAGCTGCGTGCAAACACTATTTAAAAGGGCAACAACACACTGCAGCAACACGGAACTATGCCAAGAGGAGGAGGAATACCTCTTCCAAGTGTTCAAGGATAATGGATATCCAAAGAACTGGGTCAGGAGATGCCTACAGGAACAGCATCAGAAAGATTCTACACGCCCCGACACACTCATCACACTACCCTACGTCAGGAGCACTTCAGAACTCCCCACAAGACTTCTACGACCGCTGGGCATCAGAGTGGCATACAAGCCCACATCAACTCTACGACAAGTGCTCACCCGAACTAAAGACCCACTCCCCGCCATGGACAGGACCAATGTCACCTACAAGATCCCCTGCAGAGACTGTGAGAAACACTACATTGGACAAACAGGAAGGAAACTAACAACATGAACACCAACTGGCTACAAAAAGACATGACCAATATTCACTCATTTCAATTCACATGGACAAGGAGAACCACGACTTCGACTGACACACCAAGATCCTGGGACAGGCTAGGCAGAGAAAGCACGAGAATTCCTGGAAGAATGGCACTCCACGAAGCATGCTATTAATAAACACATTGAACTCGACCCCATATACATTCCACTACGGAGGAAACCCGGAAGTGAGACAATCCATTGCAACGGACCCCAGAGTTTAAAAACCAGGCGGGAACACACTGACGCTTCATCAGAGGCTGCACTGAGGATGTTACCAAGCACGGTAACGAAATGTCTGCGGAACAACAAACCAGCTCGGCGAGCCAACCAACCTCAAAATTCATTGTCTTTAGCATCTGATATCACTTTAGCTATGGCATCATCATAAAGATCCCGCTCTGGATCAGGTTTGGTGCTGTTCGTTTTAGAATCAATCCTGCAGAGCAAATCATCTACTCCATTCGATTTAGTTTGATTTGAATTTTTATTGTCACATGTACCCAAATACTGTGAAAAGTTTTGTTTTGCATGCAGTACAGGCAGATCATAATATACAAAGATTGAACTGAGCAAGGAATACAATGTTATGGCTGCAAAGAAGGTGCACAAAAAGCAAAATCAACATTGGATTCCAAGTTTGAGGTGTCCATTCAGAAGTCTAATTACAGTAGGGAAGATGATGTTCTTGAACCTGTTGGTATGTTTTTAAGCTTTTTTATCTTCTGCCTGATGGAAGAGATTATAACCGGGGTGGGAGCAGTCTTTGATATTGGCTGCCTTTCCGCGGCAACCAGAAGTGTAGATGGAGTCAATGGAT